CACAGCACAGCACAGCACAGCACAGCACAGCACAGCACAGCACAGCACAGCACTTGTCTTAATAATTTTTGTCCTGGATATTTTAGGTCCTAAGTGCTACTCGTGTCAAGGGGCTGACATCGCCAGCTGTGCTAGCCGCATGACTCTAAAACAATGCTTACCAAACTACCAGTGCGCCGATGCTTACTTAGTTATCAAGAACAATGGAAGAGATCTTATTGCCAAAGGGTGCATCCCATCAGGGCTATGCGGTGGTGGTCTGTGTGAAAAACTGAACAACAGTGGAAGATATTCGCAGTGTCGTAGTTCTTGCTGTAAAGATGATGTGTGTAATGCTATTCCTACACTCCCCACGACGAAAGGAACCACCACTGAACAGCCTCCAACAACAGGTGCGTGTTCACGTCTAAAACAATAGCCCTTTTTCGATTTCCAATTATTACCGCTGTGTTCCTTGATTACAGACTCATTTACTCAGGCTTAGCCTCGCATCATTGTTTAAATATTTACAATTACCAACGGTACAGTAAAGAAAGCACATCTTCAACAATACAAACCCTTTGAAATTCCACGGACCTTCACTGGAAGACGTGAATATTTTGCACAAAATCCACCACCATGACGGTTTCGACATAATTTGCACCTCGAGAATAAGCTTGAAGTAATTTATAAAAAAATATTTTACACCATTTCACCCACTTACATCATTATTTTTTATTTAACTTTAATTACAATTTACTATAGAGGAAACCGCAACCCAAGCACCATGGAATGCGACGACAGAACAACTTGCCAACAAAACAACGCAAGTGCCAACCCCACGACCACTCCCTTCCAGACCAACTCCCAAACCAGGTGGTACGTAAGACTGATTATTATATGACCGTGAATCTTAGAGCCTGGACACTAGCAAATCGAGCAATCTGATTGGATAGATCGCATCGCGGACTGGTCTAGATTCTCCGGTATTAACCGGTCCGATCGCATATTAATCGTACGGCGAAAACATTTTGTCCTTTTCAATGAAAAGTGGTCATATAATAAAACTCTTATCAACCGAGCTTGGTCGGTCTGTACGGGATAATCTTGACCTCGGTCGCGTACAGACCTCAGTCAAGATTATCCCGTACAGACCTCCCGCTCGGTTAATAAGATCTAATAGTAGACCTCTTTACCTTGGGCGTAATGTTTTTCTATTTCAGACCACATGTCATTCCCTAGAGTATCATTTCTTGTTTAACAGTTGCAAATCAGAAGACAGAGTAATAGACCTCTTTACCTTGGGCGTAATGATTTCCTATTTCATGTGACATTCCTTACATTATAATTTCTTTGTCTAATGGTTGCATACGAAGAGACACATGAAAATAAATAGAGCTCAAGAAATGAATCTTACTCAAAAGAATGACACAGCTAAATTACTTTCAACAATAAGCAGAGATTCTATTTAAACCTTGGTGGTTTGAATGTTTAGGTTAACTCAAAAGAATTATCGACCAAGAAACTACAAGTAGATCACTGAGTCAAAACAGTCTCGGTCATAAACTTTACATGTTTGACTTGCGCATGCTTATTAATCATAAAAAAAACATTCGAGTGAACACAAATTGTTATTTCTAAAATTCCATCATCATACATGTTTCCTCTTCGCCGTCAAGGTCGGATCCAGGGGAGAGGGGGCAAAGGGGGGCTGAAGCTTCCCCTTCAGCATAAAAAAAAAACAAAACAAAGCAAAACTGAAGAAGTTTTTATTGTGAAGGTTTCCATATATCAAAGTATGTGTTTGAATAGAAAACCAAAACGATCAAATTTTTAAATGTCCGCACTTGGCCATCCCTCTCAGTTTCCCTTCTTCCTCCTTTATTCAGTCATTGATTTTTCATATTTCGTCTTTCAGGCCATCTGTGTTACACGTGTAGCTCGGAGACCGCACAAGAATGCTACTCCAACCTCAAAGTAAACAGGTGTGACGTAGGCAAAGTTTGCTTTACCGGCGAAGCAACACAAAACAATGGAATCAAGATGTTTGCTAAGGGATGCATGAGACTAGAACAGTGCGCAACCTCGTGCAAACGGCTGAGCGTGACAACCAAGGAGTGTAAGGTTGATTGTTGCCGTGGAGACTACTGTAATGACTTCCCCTTGACAACCAAGAGACCAACATCTCTTCCGGATACTGGTTGCTATAGGTAACAGATATTACCTTCACATTTTATCAATACCCTGAAACAACACGGTTACTGAGGCTTTGGGCTGATCCAAGTCAGGGCATGGCTAACTCACAGATCAAACCCTGAAACAACCTCTGGGCTGATCTAAGTCAGGGCATGGCTAACTCACAGATCAAACCCTGAAACNCAAACCCTGAAACAACCTCTGGGCTGATCTAAGTCAGGGCATGGCTAACTCACAGATCAAACCCTGAAACAACCTCTGGGCTGATCTAAGTCAGGGCAAGGCTAACTCACAGATCAAACCCTGAAACAACCTCTGGGCTGATCTAAGTCAGGGCATGGCTAACTCACATATCTAACCCTGAAACAACCTCTGGGCTGATCTAAGTCATGGCACGGCTAACTCACAGATTGAATTGAAATTARTATTTAGTGAGTTAGGTCAGTTTKCAGAGTCCAGGAATCGAACCTGACACATTGTCCTATAGTGATGTAATAGTAGTAAGTTCAGTTGCTAAATATCCTACTTTATTTATAGAATTCTATCTCAAGTTTTAGAAGTTTTTAAGAAGCTACTAGAAACTGTAAGTCTGATTTTTTTAAATAAAGTACTACGTTGTTTTATTGATCTCCAAATGGGGATCATGATCAACAACTGACTACTGTCATGTCAGACAGAAAGAATTCTATTAAAAATGTGTGATTATTCAGCTGATGAGCATTCCGCACGAGAAAAGAAATGACCTCAAGTTAAAGCCAACAATAAGCAATAAATTCTTTGTTATTATTGTATTTATATTGCTGTGGCCACGAACTGATCTGCTATAAATCCATAGATCTATTGGTAATAAGTCCTAAACGTTTGTGGATTTTTTYTTCTTTAGATTGATACTCTGATGAAGTTCAAAGAATTCAACTTAAAGGTTGCTCCCTATTATCAACGTGAGTACTACAGTATCAGTTACTCAATTCAAATAAGAAAAAGTGCACCTTTCTCTTTTGGCCATGGATTCTCAACTTCACCAATCAAAAAACAAGAAGTTCCTCATCATCCGAACACAATTGTTTAATTCAAAAAAGATTCAATATGCCAGACCTTGGTTTAGCCCAGACTCTGATGGGAATAAATGGACAAAGGTTATGGCCGTCATTATGATGACCAAACGAAACACAGACCCAATCTTTTGTCAAACCAATATGGCGACTATGACGTCACATGCATCACAATCATTACTTAAAAGACCTGATTCGCCTTGATGCCATGTTCACCTAATTCAGACTACGTGTCATATACCCAAGAGAATAGGATTCCTTGGTTGACTTGTATTCATATTCATATAAAATGGTCTAAAATGATAAAAACCAATCCCATTAAGGCGAACTAGAACTATATAGGCCCTTTGCATCGATTTCCAAGAGAGGAATTATCAATGACTGTTATACGTTCTGATTGGTTTGGAGCGCGTGCTTTATGAGAGCACACAGCACGCCCGCGCACTTTCCGTTGCGTCATTCCTATCTAAAATAACGGTTATTGTAATTTGTATTTTATAAAAGAAATTAAAAAACTTGCTTGCTTGCAGTGCTGTGTGCAGTTATAGAGCACTTGCGGCGTGCTTCTCATAACACGTCTCTCGTGTTCTGCCAACCTCTGCCTGCTTTATGACTGAGGAACGAACACAACGATAAGCTGTCTTTAAGAAAACACGAATTAATTGTCGTGTCGCAGAAGAAATCTTCTCGGGGCTCAGTGCAAGGCGTCTATACTTGCTATAATAGTCTGACAAAATCACACTAATTATGAACTCAATAATCTATTATTAATCTATTTTCTTAGGTGAGATTAATTCTTTGATGGGAACAATAAATGCCCATGCTGTCTCCGTGACTGGCGATGATGGCCCGGAAGTCAGGAGCGCAGCCACGAAAATGAGATCACTGCGCAAGCGCGCTGGTAAAGTCTTGAAGAAACTCGATAAAATCATTGGTAAGATATATCAGCAACAATTGGTCTTTCTTTCTGTAAAGTGTGTGAAACTGTATAATCATTCCTGTAACGTTTGTTAATCTGTTAATTTGGAGCAAATACTAAACAGACCTCTTTACTTTGGACGTAACGTTTTCCTATTTCTGACCACGTGTAATTCCCTTGAGTATTATTTTTTAATGGACCTTTTTACTTTGAGCGTAATGTTTTCCCATTTCAGACCACATGTTATTCCCTTGGTATTATATCTTTTATAGACCCTTATAGCTTGGGGATAATGTTTTCCAATTTCAGACCACATGTCATTCCCTTGAGTATGATTTCTTTTAAGGACCTTTTTACTTTGAGCGTAATGTTTTCCCATTTTAGACCACATGTTATTCCCTTGAGTATGATTTCTTTTATGGAACCTTTTTCCTTGAGTGCAATGTTTTTCCATTTCAGACTACTTGTCATTCTTTTGTAAATAAGATTCAGTCTTTGTTTGATTTGCATCCATATTCATGTGTCTTCTGATGCGAAACCGTTAAATGCGTTAACTTACTTTCTCTTTTTTTTCCAGCCAGGAGATAAAATGCTAAAGGCAAATACCTTCCTCTCATAGAGAAACAAGCTATATACTAAATTCTTGCACAAGTGTTTTGGAACTTAATATATCCCAGAGTCTTGTGCGTTAATAGGAAATTTGGAAATTAATGGTCGTTGCCAAGCAATACCATAGAAGATCATCTCGACTAATTTTTTTYYCTCAACATCGGAATAGCTAGTAGCGCGCTTGGACTGATCGTATTGACTCACACAACGCTTTATTAAGTAATGACCAAACATCATTACTCTAAATATTTATAAAAGCAAAATGATTTTGTACTTATACACACGAAGTTTGTTATTTTAAACATTAAAGTAATTACCACACATTACCGTCCACGAATTAAGTCAGTATATTTATCTGTCATTAAATTGACAGTATCAAGATCAAAAGAGGCTTTACACTATCACGTGATGACAGCCATGACAGAAGGCACAACAATAGTTTATTTTTCCCTTGGGAAACTGAATTATTTCTCATGTAAATCAGATTAGACCAGATTCAATTGTTCCTGCCTCCTGTCTTGGCTGCGATCATGTGATGGTGCATATAGACCTATAGACCTATAGATCTATAGACCTCCTTAGCTTTGTTGTTTGTTGTGCACATTTCAGACCATGTGATGCCACTCTTGCGAGTTGATTTCGATTATGATTGTTCGTATAAAAGAACAATTCTCAAGGGAATGTCAAGTGGTCTGTAATGGGCAATTTGCATACAAAGGTGAAGATGTCTATGGACCTATCACACGGCAGCCATGTTTATCCTCATGAGAATAAGAACCTTTGTTTAACCCGCATAAACTCATTCTCAAACTCTTGTATGCGAGGCTACGAGTGGTAGAATCTATTGTTCCAACCAACATGGCTGCCGCGTGAAAAAGGCCCATTGCAAGGGCATCCAAAGAATTAAAGTAAAACAATCGTAGTGACATAAAATGTAGTTTTAGTATTGTGATACTCTGTTGTAAAATAAACTGTGCAAATTGTCCAAAAAAATATTTTAAAAATATACGAAAGAGGTAAAAATGATGTCCCATCTGGGTAAGTGAAATTTTATTTAACGTATAAGCTTATGTTGGATAATTTTAGTTGCGCAAAGCATGGTATTTTGATTTTTCCTATAATTGATGGTTTTCACGGCGGCCATGTTGGAGGAACTTAACAAACGAATTGTCAATGAATTCTTTTGTTATGTACTCCAACATGTCCGCCGTTTCTTTTGTTATTTCATTCTCTTGGGAATGGTTGAAAACCAGCAATTGTAATCGGGAGAGAGCCGCCAATATTGTGTGCGCTTGTAGAGAATCACGCATACAAGTTCTAACAATCAATAATTCTCAATCCCTGATGATGCGCCATTCAATAAATTTAATTTGCCTAGAAGATACATCGTTTTTACCTCATATATTGTTAATGGAAGCTATATACAATAGTTTAATAGTAATATAATGATCATATATATCATTAAGCTGGCGCAGCTACGCAAGTCAAATTACAGAATTCACCATTTTCCATACATTGGTTCACTAGTCAAACACAAAGCGCTCCAGCGAGGCGCCAAGGTGCTTTTAAAGGATTATTCAAATTTGAACCTTGCAACCTCGACTGAATACTTTGTGTTTGACCAGTGAAACGATGTATGGAAAATGGTGAATTAGATCTTTTTTTAAGTTGGGGATTCTAATCAAGACCTCAGTAACTGTCACACCCTCTTTCAGCGTGACAATAAAATCACCTGGATCACAAATAGAGAGAAGGCATTTTTAAAGCCGTGAAATAAAAAATACTAGCCAACGTGTAATAGTCAAATAGACACAAAAGAAAACAATAGAATAGTCCAAATCCACTCATGGGTGTAATCGGTTTTGACCATTTCAGACCACGTGTCAGTCTCTTGAGAATAAGTTTATTTGTTTGAGTCGTATCAATATATTCATGTGTCTTCTCATGCGCAACCGTTAAACAGGGAATGGCAAGTGGTCTGAAATGGAAAAACAGTGGATTGGATCTATTAGGGTCTACTAGTGTGTATTAGTCTATCATCTTTTTCACGGGTTTAGTGAGTCAGTCTAGCCTTCATAGTATTAACATGAATACGTGTAAACACATCCACAAGGACACTGACATTTGTATGTACCGTTAGGCCCATCACATATCATATTCTTCACTGTGTTCTCGATGGCTTTTAGACTTTTGAATCCTGATGTAAAAATATGACGTCCATCGCTTGCTATGTCCATTAGTTCTTGCTTCCAGAATGCGTTTCCCACGCCAATAGCAAATACCTCGACACCAGCGTTCTTTAGCGCCTTTGCTGGACCAGTTGCATCATCACTGGATTGTCCATCCGTCAGAACGACTAACGCCTCGTTAAAGAAAAGGGCGAACGAATTAATATTGGTGGAGGTTCATTGTTGGTTACGTTATCTCTAACATAATTGATAATAAGAATTTCTATATGGGCCGTAGAGCACTGAGACACTAAGCAAGCAAGCCAGCCAGCCAGCCAGCCAGCCAGCCAGCCAGCCAGCCAGCCAGCCAGCCAGC